AAAGCTCATACAGCTCATCGTTCCATCGTCTGCGGTACTCGCCGTCGCCANGTTAATGCTGGTTCCCAAGTAAACGAAATTCTCTACTTTCTCGAAATTGTAACTGTCAACAGAGACGTGGGTGCCAAGGCTCGAATGTGCTGACTGTTTGATGACAGGAGATGTTTCGTCTTGTCCTTGTTTACCACCAGATCCATTCGCTTTGCTTCCCTATCCAACTTGGAAAAGGCAGAACAGACTTCGCGGTTTTTGTTGCCGATGATGTCGATGTCATCGGCATAAGCCAGCAATTGAACGCTCTTGTAGTAAATTGTTCCTGAGCGGTTCAGTTCTGCAGCTCTTATTANCCAATTCTGACGGAGCTGGTGGTATTGCTCAACGTCATTTTACACAGCCGTATGAGTTTTGAGGGGATGCCAAATTCAGACATAGCGCCGTACAGGCAGCTCCATTTAGTGCTGCCAAAAGCGGCTTTAAAGTCGACAAATAGGTGGTGAGCGTCGATCCTTTTCTCGCGGGTATTTTCCAAGATTTGGCGTATTGTACCTGTCTATGGTGGATTTGCCAAGTCTAAAGCCACACTGATAAGGCCCAATCAGTTCATTGACGGTGGGCTTCAGTCTTTCACATAATACGCTCGATAAGACCTTGTAACCTATGCTTATAAGGCTGATCCCGCGGTAGTTGGCGCGAATGGCGGGGTCACCTTTCTTGTGGATTGGGCAGAGCACACTCAAATTCCAGTCGTCGGGCATGCGTTCATCTGACCATATTCTGCAGAGAGTTGATGCATGCACCTTATCAACTCCTCACCGTCGTACTTGAATAGCTCAGCTGGCAGGCTGTCAGCTCCAGCGGCTTTGTTGTTTTTCAGATGCGTTATTGCCATACGTGCCTCGTCATAGTCAGGCGGTGGAGCGTCGAATCCGTCATCATCGACTGCGGGCTCGGGTTCTTGTTCTCCGTAACTTTCCGTGCTGCTACCATTTAGTAGGGCGGAAAAGTGTTCTTTCCATAACTTAAGTACGCTCTGGACATCAGTTATTTACTACGTCGCCATTATTGTTCTTACTGGAGTACGCCCCGGTCTTTAAACCTTCCGTAAGTCGCCTAACTCTGTGGTACAATTTTCGGGCATTCTTCCTATCGGCTNAGGCGGTGGAGCGTCGAATCCGTCATCATCGACTGCGGGCTCGGGTTCTTGTTCTCCGTAACTTTCCGTGCTGCTACCATTTAGTAGGGCGGAAAAGTGTTCTTTCCATAACTTAAGTACGCTCTGGACATCAGTTATTTACTACGTCGCCATTATTGTTCTTACTGGAGTACGCCCCGGTCTTTAAACCTTCCGTAAGTCGCCTAACTCTGTGGTACAATTTTCGGGCATTCTTCCTATCGGCTAGCTCTTCGCACTCACGTATTTCGGCCTCTCTCTTCTTAATGCGGCAAATACGTCTCGCTTCCCTCTTCAGATCCTTATAGCGCTCCCACATAGCGCGCGTTGCGCCCGATCGCAGCGTGGCCCTGTAGACGGCATCTTTTTTTTCTGCAGCTTCCTGACACTCCTCATCGTACCAGTTGTTCTTTCGGGCTCGCTGAAATCCGACTACTTCTTNGTTTGTTGAAGAGTGCTCTCTGAGAGTAGGTGTGAGAGTCGAGTAGCGAAAGCGCTGGCTTTCTGTTGTGATAGCAGCTTTTCGACGTTAAGCTTTCCTTGCATATTTGGGCGCACATTTTTTGCTGCACAGAGGCGGGTGCGTATCTTGGCTGCAACAAGATAGTGGTCCGAGTCGATGTTTGGGCCTCGGAGTGTGCGTACGTCTAAAACACTGGTTTGGTTGGTTTCTCGTTTTTCGATCCGGAGACAGCCACGTAGCTTGATGGATCTTTTTATGCTTGAACCTAGTACTGCATACTACCATGTTTCGGGCCCCGGCGAAGTCGATCAGCCTCAATCCGTTGTCGGACGTTTCGTCGTGGAGGCTGAATTTTCCGACGGTGGTTCCAAAGATCCCTTCCTTGCTCCCCCTGGCATTGAAGTCGCCAAGCACGATTTTGATATCATGACGGGGGCAGCGCTCGTACGTGCGCTCCAAGCGCTCATAGAAGAGATCCTTGGATACCTCACCCTTCTCTTCCATCGGGGCATGGGCGCAGATGAGCGAGATGTTGAAGAATCTCGCTTTGATGCGGATTGTGGCTAGACGCTCGTCCACCGGGGTGAACGACAGTACTCGGCGACGGAGTCTCTCTCCCACCACAAATCCAACTCCGAATTTGCGCTCCTTTACATGGCAGCTGTAGTAGACGACGCAAGGCCCCAGACATTGCTTGCCTTGCCCCGTCACACGCATTTCTTGGATGGCGGTGATGTCAGCTTTTGTCCTTACGAGGACATCAACCAGCCGGGCAGAGGCACCTTCCCCATTAAGGGTCCGGACATTCCAGGTGCATGCCCTCAAATCGTAGTCCTTTAAACGTTTGCCGTGGTCGTCATCATAAGGGGGGGTCTCATCCGAGGCTTTGCCTTGCTTCTTCACTGGAAGTGGTTTTTACGTGGCGGGTCCCAAGCCCAGCGCACAACCCATTGCTGGGACGGGGGTGGTTTCGCAACCAAATACACGTTTATATAGCGAGCCGCTTGCTCTAAGCAGACACCCGCTTGCAGCCGCACCTAGTGGTGAATAGGCGCTGCAGACCTCAGTGAGCTCTTAAACCGAATAAGTCGGAGTGGCCCCACCGAGCTCCCTCTCTTTCTGCCGTGACCCAAGCCTCAACTGGGATTGGTTACCGCATCTCGCACATGGGTTGCTCACGTTGCCCAGAGTGCGCGAACGAGGACGCAAGAGTGGGGATTGAGTATAGCCATGCAACTGTAACTGCATACCTAGCGCAACGACTATACCCCATTGCACTCCCCACTCAAGTTGAATTTGTTAATTTTCTTGTGCACAATTTTCATCTTTTGACACTATTAATTTGCAAATTAGAATTAACATCAGTGATGGGTTCTAACATCACAAAGTAGTTTTTGTCAAAATTGCAGATAGAGCGTATTGAATATAAGCCCTCTATATTTTACATTTTTATATCGTTAAGTTATTGGAAAATTTTTGCTGCGTTCGCAACAATTTGCATTTGTATTCCAAAAGTGCGCGAAAACCAATCAATCAACTTACATGATCTCGGTTCCGATAAGAAATAATCAATAATTGTTTATACCCGCGTTTTGGCACTGAGTTGAGTGTGCCAACATTAATAAATATGCAGATTACATTCCGTGCATGGGACACTCTTCGAATATAGCAGGCAATGCAGCGCATGCACTCACGCAGTCCTTTTTCAACTTTTTAGAAGAGCTTTTTGTTTTTTTTACAAGTTCAACGGCACGATATGAAATATTAAGTGCCAACTTATCATCGATTAAAGGATCTAATAGTGTCAAACGATTAAGTGACACTCGCTGGTCATCTCGTGCCGATGCTACAAAGTCAAAGTTGGATTTGTTCCCATCAGAAATGCATTATGTTCAATTCGAGATGACAGTGAACAGAAAGACGTAGTGAGAAGTCAGGCTCGGGGACTAGCAAAGACAATGGAATCCCTCGAAACAGCTATATACGTTATTTTTTGGCATGACATTCTTGAAAGGTTCCATTTAACCATCAAATCTCTTCAGAATCCTGCAATCACCCTGCGGACTGCTGTTAACAGTCTCGTATCTTTGCAGTCATTTGTGAAATCCAAAAGAGATACGTTTGATACGTACGAAGAAGCTGCGAAAGATTTGTCCGAAGTCAGCGACTATGAAAATGTCCGAGTGAGATCAGCAAATGTTCGCTTGCAACCCCTTGGCTCTCAGGTGTCGGCAGTACAACTTTCAGCAAGGGACAAATTTCGCACCGAAGCTTTTCTCCCAGTTATTGATAAATTGACAAGTGCACTTGAAGACAAAATTTCATGCTACAAGCTGGTCTTTGAGCGATTCAATTTTATTGGTGAGCTAATGCTCATGGAATCAGAAGACATCAATTTGCATGCTAAAAAGCTTGTGGAAACATACCCAAATGATCTTGAATCATCTTTAGGGAACGAGCTCATACAACTTCGAGATTTCGCGTACCTTCACGAAAAAAGAGAGAACGAATCAACTGAGCTGTTTTTGTACCGCATCATCAAAGAAAACAATCTTCAGTCTACATTTGTTAATTCAGAAATTATTCTACGTTTATATCTGTCTATGATGGTAACAAATTGCACGAGTGAAAGATCTTTCTCCAAGATGAAATTAATCAAAAGTCGACTTCCTTTTTTAGTGTAATATACTGTGAACATGTATTAAATTTGAAGTATTTATTCCCTTGTTACTTTATTCAATGCGTCATCTTATTCTCTAACCTTATAATTATCTACTGCAAACTATATTTTTTTTTCTGAAAGAATAGTTTGAGATTGAGACTTTAAAAAGGGCCCCCACACGTATCCCGGCCCCGGGGCCCCCACATTCTTAATCCGGCCCTGGTGCCATCTAATAAACAGTGTCGTTCTCCTTAGCCGCTTTTAAATGATGTCACAAATTATTGGCAGCGACATGAATACAGTGTAAGAAAATTCCCTCTCTATAATTGTTACCTTTAACAAAAGGTTTCTTTTTCAACTTAAACATTCCGATGTCATTCAAAATATGCTAATTTAAAAATATTTTCTTCAGTGTTCCTCCGGGGTTTTTTGATATGGCGGCAATCTACTGTTTCTTCAATTTAATAGTGTTCGCTTTGTTTTTGGAAGCGAAAAATGTTTTGCAAGTTCTTGGTCATTTCTACATTCTTTCTTCAAATATTTCTCGTACTCCAGCTCGTTTTGTTTTTCGCTCGTTTGGTTTTTCGCATCGTGCTTTTATTACATTCGTTATTTAAATTTTTTTTAATAAAATCAACAATTGATGGTGTTCATAATCATTAGCACTGAGGATTTGGTAATAACCCCTTTAATCTACGGAAATAACACTTAAGGGGGAATGCTTATTATAACAACATTCATATCTCACGTACGATGCAAGAACAACATTTTTCTCTTTGAATCGACATACTTTAAGCATTTTTGATGCTATTTCTATTAAAATTCGGAACATTTTGCATGTTTTTGATGTGTATACATCTTTGGTTTCGGCAGGGGTAAATTTTGCGAAGCTGTAACGCATAGCCCAGCAGAAAATTGCGAAGGACGTGTATTACAGCACGTGTATTATAGCAGAAAATTTTTAATTTCATTAGAAGCACCCTGTCTTTACTTGCTATTGCAAATGGTTGCATACATTTAGGCATATGCAGAGTAAGAGGAAATGCGGTTTAAATAATTATTACTTCCGATTATGCAAACTCCGTGCATGCATACGCCTATATGCCTATACCAACATACTCAAGTTTGCATTTGGATGAGCTCAAACTTTAAAAATTTAAAAATTCTTAAAACATTTTAACTGGGTCTGTTGGTAGCTTAAGAACATACATGTACATATATATGTATATATACAAATGTATGGATGATATAATAGCTGTGATCCAATCATTTTCGTGTCAAATAATGTAAAAAGTGAGAGTAAAAAGTGAGTAACAGCAAAAAGTACGAGAACAAAAAAAGCATCGGGCAAAACCTTGCAACTCCATTCTCTACACAACTCTCTAAAAACCGCTCTCATTTACAGGACTTTGGAGTACGGGATCATTTTTCCTGTAACTTCCTGCAAGTTCGTGTAAAAACCTGTAAGTTCATATTGAGTACTGGATCAGAGCTAATGCAAGATTGCACAAAGAGAAGACGAGAGTAAGAGGAACTTAGGAACAAACGAATTTACCTTCCCATTTTTCCAGTGTTGCCACACAAAAATTATCGAATTCTTCAAAAACAAATGAAATATCCTCAAAGTCCGAACAAAATTTTCTTATACAGATCTGAATATTGTGTACTGCATACTATTTACAGGTACTTAGTATAAAAATTAATTACATTCTCCAATTCAATTGGTATATTTGTTTGGTTCAAACAAAGTATCACCGGTAAATTTTATGCCTTGGTTTGTATATAATATTGCTGCACCTATATCAGTGCTCAATCTGGTCCTCAAGTCAGCCCTACACATTTTTAAAATATTAGATATACGTTCTACTAAAGCATTAGAAAAGGGGTATATTAGTAATGCAGATATAATTTTTTAATTGGGAAACTTATACGAACCTAAAGGGTCTTTTAATTCAAAAACTTTTTTCTTATAATTTTCTGGATCTAATGAAGAATCAATAAGAATATCCTTAGGATCGAACAATGCGTGTTTTCTCCATTCGTTACCGAGATTTCGCAAGTTCAAAATAAGTTGAAAATATAACGATGGAATGAAAAAAAAAATATCGATAACATTTTGAATATTTAGCAGCAAATGCAAATGTCCTTAAGAACGAAAAACACCACACAAGCGGCTTGACAAAGCAAGCGAAATATCCCTTTGCTGGACGCTATTTATGTTGTGTGGGGATGTTTGAAGGTTGGACAAGCCGAACAAAAATCAATTTTTTTTTACATTGTGAACAGGAAGAAAACTCAAATTTTTTGCTTAAACGAGTCATGTTTGCATGGTGTATGGCGAAATGGGAAAAGTAGGTTTGACAAACCGCTTGTGTGGTGTATTTCGCTCTTTATCCAACTTCGGAAAGCTTTCTGTTCAAAAATTTGCAGAGCGATTTAACAACTCTGTTGTGTAAAACACGGTTGCATTCGTTATCTGCAAACATATGGAGAGAAAATCCCTCAAACATTCCTCAAAATAAAAATACTCAAGCGCACCCGAAATTTCTCACGTTTTAAGGAATTACTCACAAAGTTGCAACACTGCATTTTTCAAACAAAAGATGGTATGATATATGTATTCATGACTGTAGAAGCATAAACAGGCGGCAGCGGTGATCCGGATCAACTCGGGAATTAAGTGCAGTTGATCCGGACTAACTCCGAGTTAATCCGGATCACCGCTGCCGCCTGTTTAAGCTTTAACGTAAACCTAGCGAAAGAAGAAGCAGAACCACAACAGATTATATTCCTTAAAGAAAAGATACATTTGGGAATATATACAAATAGAAATGCTCAAACTACAAGCAAAAAAACAATAGTTGATGCGATGTTTTCAAGAGATTTAACGCCCTTGAGTTACACGTATATACAAGTATCATATTTTATCAATCATACCGATAATTTCATGTACTAAAAAAATTAAAAACTAAAATGAGTAAAAAAATTTAATCAGCAAAATGAACAAAATTAAGTGAAATTTATGTTTAATTTCTAACCTAGCCTGCATGTGTATGTATGTAACTGAATCGCCTAATAATGGGTTTACATATAACTAGATTATTCTCATTTTTGAGCTTATCTCTCTAACCTGTAATTAGAAATAGAGATATACATACAAAATTATAATTATAAAATAATCTAAGATTGACGGTAGCAAGGAAAAGAAGTTTGTAAAGGTATTTCTAATAAAGTATTAAGTTAAAAAATATTAAAATTGCTTAATTTGTGGAGCAGAAAAAGTGACCACGGTGGCACAGAGAAGAAACTTAACTTTTCCTCTAGTTGTGATTGAGATTATATTTATATGTAAACAAACTTTTATGCTTTGCCGTACGCATATGTTTACATATCAAAATTCATGAGTACCTAGTACACACGCCTTTTTTTCGAAGAATACTATTTTTTACCAATTTTTTTAAGATCGAGGAGTAATTGTGGCTCAATGCCTATATTTTTCCGTGAAAGGGAATAACATTGGCTTTCAAAACCATTTTGTTTCATATCGAAATGTTGCTTCTGTCAAAAGCGGTACGATTAATTCGCATGGAGTGTTCAAAAAGCACACTGTGCGTCGCCATCACCACCACACCTCTACGTATGCATGAATGTAAACATTTGTGTACATGTGATCTTCCGTCTTCCTCCAACTTATGGCCTTATTTAATTGTCTCTTTTTAACCAACGCAAAATTTGCAAATGTGTTAGTAAGATAAATGAGAATGTGTTAGTTTCCATCACACAATTCTTGTAGGGCATATTGCTGTGCATGTATATGGGCAGAAATCGCCATTGAAAAAAATGTAAAAGCAATGCGGAAAATGACGATTTGCTACCAAACAGCGCAGAATTCTTAGTTCTATATATATATGTATTTTTACCAGAAAATAGGTACATTTTTTCAACCTAAATGTTATGAGAATCGAGTGTATGCATATACATACATTCCTCTAAGGGTGTAAACTGTGAAATTGTGAACAATAAGTATTTAGAATTTAACAAAAACACCTTTGAATTTGCTCTATGTCACACATATTTATGATAAGTAAAAGTAAACAAACTGACACGGCTGTGTAAAATAACGTTGAGCAATACCACCAGCCTCATCAGATTTGGGAAAGACCTCTCCGATCCGTTCGCCACCAACTGGAGTTTCAGACAGGGCGACTCCCTTTCATGTGACTTCTTTAATCTAAGGTTGGAGAAGATAATAAGAGCTGCAGAACTGAACCGCTCAGGAACAATTTACTACAAGAGCGTTCAATTGCTGGCTTATGCCGATGACATCGACATCATCGGTAACAAAAACCGCGAAGTCTGTTCTGCCTTTTCCAAGTTGGATAGGGAAGCAAAGCGAATGGATCTGGTGGTAAACAAGGACAAGACGAAGCATCTCCTGTCATCAAACAGTCAGCACATTCGAGCCTTGGCACCCACGTCACTGTTGACAGTTACAATTTCGAGAAAGTAGAGAATTTCGTTTATTTGGGAACCAGCATTAACACCGATAATAATGTCAGCATTGAAATTAAACGCAGAATCACTCTTGCCAACAAGTGCTACTTTGGACTGAGTAAGCAATTCAGGAGTAAAGTCCTCTCTCGACGTACGAAAACTACGCTCTATAAGTCACTCATCATGTCCGTGCTGGTATATGGCGCAGAAGCATGACAACATCGGATGAGGCGGCTTTTGGAGTGTTTGAGAGAAATATTTTGCGGAAGATTTAAGGGCCTTTACGCGTTGGCGACGGCGAGAACCCCAGATTATGGAACAATGAGCTGTATAAGCTTTACAACGACATGGACATAGTGCAGCAAATTAAAATACATCGGCTCCGCTGGCTTGGCCATGTCGTTCGCGCAAACCTAGACAAACATTTTTTAGAGAGTGATTAATATAGTATAAAGCTTATCACCCAAATTCATAAAAACTAGAGAAGGCTTTAAAGGTTTTATAAAGCGAGAAGTTGTATGAAAATGTTACTGTATAAAGCTCTTTAAATCTATTTCGCTATTTATGAATAAGCGGGTTTTGGTAAAAGCATGAACAGTCTAATATATAAAAATAAAAATCTCGTGTCGCGGTGTTAGTAGTCGAACTCCTCCTGAACGGTTTGACCGATCTTTATGAAATTTTTTGTGCAAATATGGTAGGTATGAGAATCAGATGTAATGTATATTTCATACTGCTAGATGCAAGGGGCGTGTCACCTCCCATACAAACCGAATTTTTCATACTGCATATCTCTGGAAATGTTCACGGTAGAGTACTCGAGCATGGTATGGAGATATGAGAAATCCATCCCATACTCTTAGAGAAAATTGCGGCTACTTTATAGGGGGGCATGGCGCATTTCAAACCCACTGAAGCTATTACGTATCTTTGTATGCATATACACTTTTGCTAGGTTATTTAAGATGGCATTGGAAATATGCCTTCTGACAACCACCAAACCGAAATATTAGAAGATAAATGCGTCACTGAATATCATGAACGTGAACTGTTGACGAAAATGTTTCAATACAAAAAATTAATTTTGGACGGGACGAAGTTCGCCGGGTCTGCTAGTATTTGCATAAAAAAAATTACTTAAAAAGTTTAACTTGAAAAACATTGTGAATGTTAAAAAAAATTCCATTAACTCAGTTTTGAACACAAAACGCGGTAGAAATTTATTATGTGCATTCATATATACGTATGAATGGACCCAGTTACGACTGCATTTGTTAATGTATGTATTTTTTTATAATACGAGTTATACGGCCGTTCGA